GACTCTGTGGTATCTTTTAGCTCAAGCTCTGTAGGATATATGGTATCGACATAGGAATGGAAATTTATTACCATCGTTAATTGACAATACGTCGTCGACATATCTAAATTTTGAGTTGAAGGCCAAAGCAAGTGTTATCTTCTTTTCACGCATAAGATTCTGCACAAATTCTGTTTCATATGAAAATAAAAATAGGTCTGCTAATAACGGAGCGCAATTGGTATCCTTGGCCATTCCAATAGATTGTTTAAAGACCTTGTCTCCAAAAATCACATAGATAGTGTCAATCAGAAACTCAAGCATCTTTTGATGTCAACTTCAGAGTACTTGTGTGTGCAATCAGAATGTGTTTTAACAAAAGAAGTTTGCATGCAATCAGAATGTGTTTTAACAAAAGAAGTTTGCAAATGACCAATGACCAGGTGAGTAAATTTACGAGTTCCATTTTAATTGAAAAAGCACCTGTCAATGATATCAAAAAGCCGAGACCTAAATTTATCAATAAATGTTCAAAAGACGACGTACGACTTCGGGCGAAAACAGATAGCTATAGGTCACCAGAGTGACTCGGGTGACCTAAAACTCAACATTGGTTTTCATCAATCAAATATTGCTATTTGCTAGGCCGTCTGGACGCTTTCCAACTTATGTAGGTAATGGATGCCACACGAGAGTGGGCGGGTCCTAATTATGATAAGCCTATTAAAACTTTTAAGAACTACGTGGAAAGCATAGAGGTATATTCCTGTATTTGTTAAGGGGGCAACCTTTTTTCTGAAAGGGGAGGGGGGGGGGTGTCAGATCTTGGAAATAAAAAGTCCTCAAAAATGTTGAAAATAAATATGTCCTCCACTGGATAAGAAATAAATAATCTGGCTCAGACCAGTGCTCCTATTCCCACAAATTAGAGTTTGTGTGTGTGTGTGTGTTTTCTTTTTTCTTGTCAGACATTTTTCAATGAAGAGGCAAATGATCTGTCCTTCATCTTACTAGAAATAAATATTATTCTGTCCTTCATTGACCTGAAAATAAAAAAAAAACTTGCCATCCACCCCCCTCCCTTCAAAATCAAATGTTTTGAATCAATAAAGGCGAGTCTTTAGTCTCCCTTTTTTAGTTTCTATTATTGAAAAACATATCAAAACAATGTACATGCTGGAAATAAGGTCTTTATGGACATTTGCACCCACCACGTGCACACAAAATATATGCAAGTTCAGATTTTCAAATATGAATAGCCTTTTCAAAACCTGTACAGGAAGTACATGCGTATGAAAAATTCAAAGTATTATTTATCTAGAAGATTTATTTCATAAAAAGCTTTTCAAAAGGTAGACTGTAATAGGAATACTAGGAAGGTGCAAATTATTTCCATCTCTTTATGATCTTGTGGATGGATTAATTCTGAAAATACATGTATGCAAACCATTATTATACCCACGCAACAAGTTGCGTGAGGTATAATGTTTTTGACCCGTCCGTCAGTCAGTAAGCCAGAGTGTCAATCAGTCCGTCGGTCCTGTTTTTTTTTTTTGTCAGTGCAACTCCTCATAAACCGCTGCACATAATTTCGGAAAGCTTTGCAGAAACTTAGGACACAATGTGTAGATGTGCATATATTACCAGGAAATTCCGAAGAGTTTGTCAGCAAAACTCCTCATAAACTGCTGCACACAATTTCATAAAGCTTTGCAGATATTTAGGACACAATGTGTAGATGTGCATATATTACCAGGAAATTCCGAGTCCCAAATTTTTTCCGGAAATGTCCATACTTTTACGCTTAGATTTTTGGCCATATCTTGAATATAGAGATGAACAGTTTGTCAGCACAACTCCTCATGAACTGCAGCACACAATTTCGTCAAACTTTGCAAATATTTAGGACACAATTTGTAGATGTGCATATTAACAGGAAATTCCAATTCCTTTATTTTTCCCGGGAGTTTCCGCACTTTTCAACTTAGATTTTTGGCCATATCTTGAATATATTGAATATAGAGATGAATAGTTTGTCAGCACAACTCCCCATAAACTGCTTCACAGAATTTCGTCAAATTTGCAGATATTTGGGACTCATTGTGTAGATGTGCATATTACCAGGAAATTCCGAATCCCTAATTTTTTTTCCGGGAATTTCCGCATTTTTCATCTTAGATTTTTGGCCATATCTTGAATATAGAGATGAATAGTTTGTCAGCAAAACTCCCTATAAACTGCTGCATACAATTTCGTCAAATTTGCAGATATTTAGGACTCGTTGTGTAGATGTGCATATTACCAGTAAATTCCGAATCCTTAATTTTATTTCCGGGAATTTCCGCACTTTTCAACTTAGATTTTTGGCCATATCTTGAATATAGAAATGAATAGTTTCTCAGCGCAACTCCCCATAAACTGCTGCACACAATTTCGTCAAATTTGCAGATATTTAGGACATATTGTGTAGATGTGATATTACCAGGAAATTCCGAGTCCCTAATTTTTCCGGGAATTTCCGCACTTTTCAACTTAGATTTTTGGTTTGGTCTTGAATATAGAGATAAACAGTTTGTCAGCACAACTCCTCATAAACCACTGCACACAATTTCGTCAAACTTTGCAGATATTTAGGACAGTGTTTAGATGTGCATACTGCTATATTTTATTATCAAAACAATTCAATAATCTTGCCAGGAATATTGTATGGTTAATAGCAGCAATATGGAGCATACAATTTTCCTTAAATGATGGATTAACTTGCTGCCTGAATGAATCCATTGGTCCAATTCTTTGGGAATAGCTGCAACACAATAAATATGTTATGAAATTACTAATTAATATACATTCTAGAACAAAATGGCATTACTTTTGACAAAACAAATCATGCTATACTGTATAACGTAGTGGATTTCTGTTATTCATATTAAAAAGAAATTGAAACAAAGTTGTGTTACAAAACTTTTAGAACTTGGAAATTAATACCTCTGCCATTTACAAGAACAATTAATTAGAATATTAAAAAATATTCTTTCATCTTAACCAAAATGATTGATTGATTGTTTGTTGTTTAACATCCCTCTAGAGAATTTTTCACTCAGATGGAGACGTCACCGTATGCCGGTGAAGGGTGTCAAATTTATTCCTATACTTGGCACTCAGGGCCATTGAGTAGTGAGGATTCTTTTTATCTTGCCAACGCCTACCGCGACAGGGGACCCTATATTCTTAAGGTCATATCCGAAAGGCCCGTGACTTTCACCTCTAATACCGAGCGTTTAGCGAAGGAACACTCACTACCTATGTTTACGTCTTAGGTCTGACGTGGCGCCGCGAACGAGAATCGAATCCGGGCCTCCCGATAAAATATATAAATCACACATGTATGCTTAAAAAAATGTTAAATACATCAGAAGTATACATACCCATTCTTTAAGCCTGAAAGTATTGACAGCTAAAGAAAGTATTATATTATATATAATTTAAAAAAAAAAATAATTATGTATAAATTACAGAATTTAATTGATTTGACATGTAATCAAACTTAAAAAAAAATGTTTTATACCCCACTAATTTAGAAATTCTAGTTATTTACAACATAGAATGATCTAAAGTGGAAGTTTTATGTTTTCAACATTACGATACAGATAAAATTTTTATGTTATGTAGTATGTTTGTATGCCGAAAGACAACGTTACATGTTTAGTAACATAGTAACATTGTGAAATAATGAAAATATCAAATTTAGTTTAGTTTAAATTTGTACTACTGCTGATCCCCATTACTACACATATTGTCTCAAAGAAAATAAGCTTACGGACAAGAACTCTGTATATATTTGGTACAATTACATTTTAAAAATTCTAATAAAAAGTGTGCTACTTTGTGTGGGGATGGAAAGGGGGGGGGGGTTACTCACAACGCAGAGTTTTTCACTGACTGTGATAATACATCTAAATGAACACGTACACATTCGTGTTTTTATCTTTGATAAAACATATTGTCATACATGCGCATACATACCTGGACTGAATCATCGTCTCAAGACACGGTCCGGAGTCCGCATATAGCTCTCCCCAGAATGGGAGAGGATCGTACATTTCGGCCGTGGTGACTGAATGTACAGTAATGGATTTAGGGAGCTGGTGCAGATCGTCTCAATCTCCCATTATTTTCTGTAATAATGTCCTCATATTCTCGTAAAATTGATTAACAATACCTTGTTTCTTATTTTATCCCTATAAAGATTGCCTGGTTATTGCATTTCAATCCACTGCATATCTCAGCTGATGTCGCCACGTTAATTTTCAGATGTAAACAACATTTTGTGTCATCGAGTGCAATCACTTGGCTGAAGCCGAATGGAGCCAAACGGCACATTAAAAATAGAATTATCTTAAAAAAATGCTATTCTATATTATAGAAAATCAGTAATAATTATTTATTTAAACATGAAAATATTTCCCTTTGTTACAAATTCTTGCATATATCGGTAAATAGTTATTTTGAGCTTTATTTCCTTATATGGATCAATCAGGGCGGAGCAAGGGTCATGCCGTCAAACCTCATTATGACCTTATTATCATCATATTTTTACGACCATTACAAAAAAAAAACCTTAAGATTGTAATATTTTGAAAAAAATAATAGTCTTTCAAATTTGTTTGTGTGAAATTATCTTTATACCACATTCCTTTTAGAAAGATTAAAATAATTTTCGACATAATACTAACTAAGAAACTTATGTGACGAATTAAATTTGGTCTCAAGTCGTAATATAGTCCTTTATAACGGGCCCCTGGTTTCTAAATGACCAGATTGACTACCAAGATGGCAGTCAAGGGAAATAACTCGGAGAGAAATACCCTTTATGAAAACTTTCTGTTGACTTGCTAAATAAAGAATTTGTTTCACTTTTTCTCATTTCACATGTATGTTTATATTTAAGAAGATGTTTCCTAAAGCAGGAATTTGATTCACTTCTTACTCATTTCTAAATGATGTTTTTTTTTTATATTCAGGAGAATGTTTCCATATATCGAGTTCTCCTTGAGAGGTGTAGATCCTGTTGGATTATATGACGTCATCTTTGACATCATTCCAGCTAGCAATAAAAGCTTCAAGTTTCTTAGCAACAAATGGATTCCGATAGGGAAGAAAGAAGAAGAATTCAAGAATTATCCATTCAAGCACCCAGACTCTCCTCGGATTGGATCGGACTGGATGACTCGAAAGATTTCCTTCGAAAAAGTAAAACTGTCGAACAAACCTGGCACAAAGGCTGGAATGGTGAGTGATTTTTGCAATACTGATAAAAGTCAATCTGATAAAAATGAGATCCTTTGATCCGCTCACATAGATCGCTACAGAAGGATCTGATGAAACCCCAGTCAGGGTCCTCTGCTAGTGACCTTTCAATTATCCAATCAAACGCTTCCTCCATAGAATTAAGAAGTACATGTACCTCTGAATTCAGTTAGAGACGTGAAAGCCCCGATGATACAAGAATGGAAAGTCGTGACCTGGTTTCCTTAACCTTCCAAAAGAACGAACACTGTCTTTTCTGTACAAAAATAAAATAAGTACTGCTTCTGCCTGGTTATATTATAATATAAAGCCATTTGTTTAGTACAAAATGAGATCTCCACAGCTCAATTTCACTTTCACATTCATTTTTCGAGAGAATTTTTCACTTGTATGGAGACGCCACCACTTGCTACAAGAGCTACAACTTTTGTTCTTTACTCGGCATTCAGGGCCATTGGGTAGTGAGGGATCTTTTTCGTGCCAGCACCTTCTGAGACACGGGACCTCGGTTTAAACGGTCTTCTCCGAAAGACCGATCTTAACGTCCCACAGTTGGATTCGAACTCGCGACGTAAGGATCAACTCCTTACTTTGCAACTCTAGAGCAGACGCTCTAACCACTCCGCCACACGGGCGACCCAGTGGAGACGTAATTTTAAGGAAATTTTAAAGAAAAACTATATGTTAAGAAATATAACTTGAGAAATTCACAACCAACAAGAACAAAAAAATAAACTATTGAAAAATACTGGTGCCAGATAAGATAAAATTTTTGGATGGGATTTAATTTTTTTTTATATGATATCTATGTAACTATGTTTATGCTGCTTTAGAGAATTCATCAATTTAAACATTTAAATACAAAAGTCCGTGATTGTATATCAATCAAACATGTAAGTAAGGATTTTGTTTATTCAAGTCGAAATATATGTAGAAAGCATGAGAATTTCATATTTAAATTTTTTTTTCAGTTTACACTGCATACATTTCAAAAATACTTGGTACGTATTTCCATCGTCAGACATGAAAGAGATGATGAGATATCTGTTGTCGAATTTCCTATACGAGCCACAACTTTCATAGCAGTCACCGCCTACAACAATAGAGACGTGACGAAGCTCAAGATCAACAGTAATCCCTATTCAAAGGGATTCCGTTTTCCTGTGAAAAGGTTCTTGTTTATTTTTCCTTCAAATTAAGGACATACGCAACGTATCTTGCCTACTGATAATTTTTCAAGATATTCTTAATTTCAGATTATAGTGCCACCAGATGTTCATAGACAAAAAAATCACCATGCATTACCAGGGGTTTTTGAAAGATAAAAATTGATGAAAATTTTTGGATGATTAAAAAATATATATATAAAAGAAATACAAAACATATATTATAGATGTTTCTTTTATTCAAAATTGTTTTTGAATAAGTGTACAACACCATACGTAGAAATTAAAATATAACACACAGTTCATCCAAGAATTAGAACTCTTCAGCTCCATGGAGAAAGACAGAAAAGTTCAAACTACGTTGCGTATGACCTTAACCAGATAAGATAGATTCTCAATTTCTTTTTATTCAGAGTTTAAACATATTAGATATGTCATCTGGAATATTGTATATAATTTAAAAAAATGAATTTAAACCTCAACATATTTTTCACTTAAGACTAAAAAATCATGCCTTTGAAAGTGTGGATGCTAAGGAGCAAAGATTAACGACACTTGAGGATTCCATGAAAAGCACAGTGTATAATCACCTCAGGAAAGAGATTCAAGCTTTTCCACAGTGAGTTAAGGCCCAATGATCATAAACTGAGAATAGACTTAAGTCAAAATTTCAAATCAATATAACTTGTAAAAAATGATACTGAAAATGCATCATTTGTTGGAATTTGAATATTATACATAACTGCGAAATTTTAAGAACATATGTTAAATAAAACGTAAGTTATTCAGAATCAAAATTTTGACTTACATGTAAGTCTACTCACAGTTTAATTGTCACGGGGCCTGGTATTTTGAAAATTATGTACAATCATGTATTTAGGTAGTTAGTTGACACATGTATCGTATAATCCTTTCCAAGTACCAACGTTTACTTCTACAATGAACTCCTAAATACAAAAGTTTACGTACAACGAAATAATTTCTTAACTAATACTTTTATACGTTCGACAATGTTTAATCTCCTTATCTGGAACCACTGGGTTAATTTCAACCAAACTTGCCACAAAGTATCATTGGGTTAAGGGGATTCAAATTTGTTCAAATGAAGGACCATGCCCTCTTCCAATTATAAATTCACTAATTATAAATTAGTGAAAAATAAATGGCATCTTCTAAAATTCTTTTCCCAAGAACCACTGGACCAGGAAAGATTAAACTATTGTAGAAGCATCCTTCGTTGGCGAAAATTCAAGTTTATTCAAATCATGACCCCAGAGGTAGGATGGGACCGCAACGGGGTATCAAAGTTTAACATAGGAATACATAGGAAAAATCTTCTAATTAAATATCTTGTTCTCAGGATTTTCTGGGCCCGGAAAGATGAAACTCATGCAGAAGCATCCTCTGAAAGTGAAGATTCAATTTTGTTCAAACGATGACCCCAAGGGGTAGGGTTGGGTCACTATGGGGTATCAAAGTTTAACATAGGAAAATATTTCTTCTCAAGAAACACTAGGCCAGGAAAGATGAAACTCATAAAGAAGCATCCTCTGGTGATGAAGATTCAAGTTTGCTCAAATCATAACCCCCGATGGTAGGGTAGGGACACAGTAGTGTATAAAAGTTTAGCATAGAAAAAATCTTTTTAAAAAATCTTTTTCTGAAGAACAGCAAAGCCGTTATTGGTCAACGTTATATGGTACTCCAGCATGCTAGAGGTTCACGGCGAGATACTTTTGACTTGGCGCCGCGTCCGAGGTATATAAGGAGCGTAGGGACGTTAACCGAGGCTCTTACTTGTAGGAGTACGTTATATGGAAGCATCTTCTGAGAGTTGATTCAATTTTGTTCAAACCATGACCCTCAGTGGGAGGGGGAGGGAACAATGTGGGATCAAAGGGTCATATAATCATAGGGAAGCACCGTCGGGTAGTGTAGACTCAAGTGTGTTTAAATCATGACCTCTCGGGCAAGGGTGTGGCCACAATATTAATGGGTGATCAGGTTTTCATAGAAATACATATTGGTAAAAATTATTCACAAAGCCATCATGATGATTGATCATCAATTAAAAAGCATAAAAAAGTAATGTAGATTTATAATTCAGGAGAATAGAGGAGCCATAAAGTGGATCATAACAATGAATACAAAGGTTACATGAATTAAAAATTCATCTTATAAACAACAAAAGTTACAAAACCATAATGTGTCATATCAATTCAAACGCATTCTAAGGAAGTGTAGATTCATGTGTAAATGTTGATTTTAATGACAACGACAAAGAAGCTTCATTTCACCAATGTATTATTCCATCATAATAAATACAATATTTAACAAATAATTCACAGACAAACGTACATACATAAACATAGCATAAAACACTGAATATTCTGCTCGAGGGAAATAATTCACATTTCCTCATAACTTTTAAGGATCATAAAATATTTCATGCATTATATTATGCAAGTTCATCATCATAAAATACTAGTACTTTACTTTTCACTATAAACATTTCCATTCATTGTATTTAAATGAAATTCTATTTTAATACAGCATAAATAGACATCACAGTATACACCAACTTCTCTAAACACAAATCTTACCAAATATATGGTATATGAACCTAGCTGATCTGTATATGATTCAGTCATAGCTATGACAATTTAACACAAAATAAGTCTGACTGATTATTGACAAAATATGTATTGAAAACTCATGAAAAATAACTCTCCTCAAATCTTATTCACATAAGTTTCACACTTCATGCTCATAATTAATAATGTTAAAATGTTAATAAACTGACCTGTTTAGTATATTGTTCAAAAGTCCATAAGGCCTGGTAATTCAAAATAATCAAACTTTAGAAATCAATAATTTTGGAGTCAGTCAATGAACTGCTCAATCCGTAAGGATCTTTTTGAAAGTGTCTAAGAATACTAAGTAGTACACTTCTCACCAGAGTATCCAATCAAATACCTGGTTTCATCCATGCATGAACAGCATGCTTAATCAAATGGGGAACACTATGGAGAAGCCTTAGTGCAATAAATATATACAATCGCTCTTACCTACCGGTAATACTTAGTATGGAAATACATTATGGACAAAAATTAAAAACAATAATTCAAATATGTCTTATTAAGTAATTTTTTATTGATAAAAACATGCAGTCACATATGTTTGTTCAAATACCCCCCCCCCCCTTCCCCGGGACCCACTTTTACAATATATTTAAACTAATACTGAACTGATTTTTGCTTTTACCTAGCCAATTGCTCAGGTGACCTATGTGGCCCCTGGGCCTCTTATCAGAAATTAGGTCACATGGTAGGACTTTTTGGTCACATATCGAATTATCTATCCTTTATATCTAATTTAAGATTTCCACTGGATTTGTCCATCAACAAAGACAGTCAAAAAACAAGTGAGTCATTAAAAAGAAAATATTATACTAACATCTTCACGTTTAAAATGATATTTATCGAAAATGTCCATCATTTACATCATTTTGCTTCATTAATTTGAGATTAAATTGCTAAGTCATTTTTTTTTAATTACAGATCACGTCTCTGCTTCCGAAGACATTCCCGTAAATGACAAAGAAATACAAACAGATATAACAATGGTAGAAATGGCTGCCTATTGCTGCTTTCATGCATGTAAGCTGAACAATACATGCATCTTCATACACCTTCATTCAACCACTATATATATCTTTTGAATCCTTAGTTTGAGAAAAATCAAACGTAGTATGCCTGTTTTCACTAAGGGAGGAGATGAAGTGGCTTTGAGAACACAAGGTCGATAGTCAAAGTAATTGACAGATTGAATGATTTCCTAAATATTTAGAAACTCTACTTGACAGACATTTACTTTTTTCATAGAGCCCTTACAGGATTCATGATCCTGACTAAATATACATCAAAAGATCAATAGTTAAATTTCAGATAGGACCGCTCTTTGTTCGTTCAATATCTTGAAAACGCATTGCTTGACAAACTTAGTACATAAGTCTCCTTTGAAGTCAGACGACGCGTTCCTCAAAAATGTATAACTTTTCCCAAAAACTTGCCGTTGAAGTCTAGGTACTTACACAAGTTTCCTCACAAAAACTTTGGGTACCTTACCAGGCATTTGAACCAGATACCATATAGTGAAATTTCTTATATATTTCATATGTGTAATCATCTGAATGGCCTTCATTACAATTATCGATGTATTTATATTTGATAACATATTGAAAACAATGTAGAAATCACAAGATAATGACAAATATGCATAATTTTTATATAATACCAAGAAATACAAAAGATATATTTGAGGAACGTGTCGTCCGTCCTTAAGAAGTAGTTTTCAGCAATGTTATTGAAGTCTGATTGAGATCAAAATTAACACTATGTTGCCCTTATCCAGGAGTTACTCAATAATTTTCACCATCAAACATTAAAATCGTAGCATTCTAATACTGCTAATTACACATTTCTTGGGTTTTAATGTATATGAAATTTTTCTTGAAGATTTAAACGCGCAGATACAGACTGGTATGGCTATGCCACCGTTCTACAATTTCTATCCACACTTCCCGAGATGTCCATGGGAACAAGGTAAAAAAAATCTTCTTTGTATTTATCTTGAATGTTCTTTCCTTTCTTTGTTTTTGAAAAAAATTGCTAAACTCTGTGAACTTAAAGTCTAGTCTCTTTCTCTTTTGCTCTTTCCTTCCCATCTTATTGTCATTGAATCAATGTTATATAAAAAGTAAAATTCAAGGATTCATGTGTGCTTTTCTGTTTTAATTTACAAAAGTAGACTGATAACTTTATCAAAAGGGTTTTTCGATTGTAAATAATCAGTTGCATTACCACTTTATCATGTGAGGAAAAATTAAGGATCATTATTCTATTTATTGCTGTTGTAAAGTTTCAAGTCCCTATTACAACTTTTCTCTTCCTTTGTTATTTAAGTATAAACCAGTAGAGCTACAGTCTCGACAGAGAATTCTGGTTAAAGAATATAAATACCAGGGTCATTCATTAAGTAATACAACTGAAAACAAAAAAGGGTCATTCGTTAAGTAATACAACTGGAAACAAAAAAATTTGAAGCCTTAGTTTCAAATTATTTATTACATTAATCCTTCAAAATATTCCCCGTTTACCTTAATACACTTTTCAAATTTCTTTATCCAAGACCAGAAAACCTCAGCATATTCGTCTTTATGTATACCTATAAGGCAGATAGATGGCAAAGTCAATGGCCCATCTGTAGCCATAGCGTCTTCCGGACATTTTCTTTAGTTTAGTAAAGGGAAAAAATCGCATGGACTCAGATCTCTAATTCTTTCAATCCTAAATCCTGTTTATTTACCTCTTTATGTTTGTGCGCAGTAGCATTTTCATGCAGCAGGTGAATTCCAAGAAGGTCTGTCTTTGGGCGTCTTTTACAGAAGAGATGTTTCACTTTGTTCAATATTCTGTTTTTGTAAAACAAGCCGTTTACAGTCTTCCTTTCAGTACAGGGATTTGAACGATTGCACCTCGAGAGTAAAAGAAAATTCTGTTCAAATCCTTTATTTGAACTCTGACATATTCTAGCAATAACGGGCCTTCAGAGTTCTGCTGCATTTTCTAAGTCACATTACATTATCAACTTTTCTTTGAGGCTCAAAATAGTGAAGCCAGGTCTCATCACTTGTTAAAATGCTGTAAATTTTCTCTTGTCACAACTGAAAATAATTAAGTTCTCTTGCCATTTTTTACCCCTGTCTTCTTTTGTTCCACCTGGCTGAAACTTTCCTAAGATTAAGTTTTTAGTTAAAATTTTCTGTGCTGCTCCTTTTAAAACCTGGAGGGCGCCCTTGCAATGATTTACATTGTGTATCGTGCATCTTCTGTTATCAATGTACTCACAGCATCAATATTTCTATGGATCAGAACGCTTTTTGATCGTCCTGTACGTGATTGATTTTCCAAACGTCTTTCTACTTAAGGAGGCTAGGGGGTCAACAAATTACTTTTTCATTAACCACCAGATATAACTTAAATTTTGGAATATGATATCTTAAGCTGTCAAGTATCATTTGGCAAAGAAAAATTTCATAAATTTTAGTTTTAAGATTTGATCATTTTCTTTTATCTTTATATGGAGCTCTTCTTCTAAAGGAAATCAAAATAGGCTTAAAATGGCCACAACCACCCAGCCCCTTTAATTGAATTTTTTCATCCATCTGCAGACTATACTGTATGGAATTACACACTTCCTATAAACATCATCAATCATGTTTGTAAGTGTCTTTAAATTGTTTCCCTAGCAAAACGCAGTTTTTTCATATATGATCGAATTTCCATTTTCATCTTAGCGGCCATTCTTGAGCTGAAAATCACTCAATGTGGTGACCATGCCGTTTTTGAATTGTAAGAACTTTAAGAAAACGGAAGAAAACTCCGTGCAGTTTTCGGCAAGTGAGAGAGAATAAATAAAACTTAAAAGACCGTGAAAAGAAAATCTAAAAATACTGCGTATTTTGTATGGAAAATCAGAAATTGCATTACTTAGTAAATGACCCTCGTATGTATTAAAATCGTCCAATTCTTTTTTATGCCGCCCTTCGATGAAGGGAGGGCATATTGCTTTGCTGCTGTCTGTCTGTCAGTCCACTTAGTTTCCGTTTATTTTCTTCACAACCGTTGCACATACTGAAATAAAATTTGGTATACAGATTTATCAGAAAAATATCTAGGTCAAGTTGTGTTTTGGGTCTGGTCAGGCCATTTTTGACAGAGTTATGCCCCTTGGATTCCAATTATTTGCAGTTTCCGTTCATTTTCTTTGCAACCGTTGCACCTACTGAAATGAAATTTGGTAAACATATATATTAGAAAAATATCTAGGTTAAGTTATGTTTTGGGTACGATCACACCATTTTTCACAGACTTATGTCCCTTGGGCATAGAAAAATTCCAATTATTTGCAGTTTCCATTCATTTTCTTTGCAGGATTTGCACATACTGAAATGAAATTTAGTATACAGATTTATCAGATAAATATCTAGGTCAAGTTGTGTTTTGGGTACGATCGCACCATTTTTCACAGACTTATGCCCCTTGGACTTAGAAAAATTTCAATTATTTGTAGTTTCCGTTCATTTTTTTTTTTGCAGAGGTTGCACATACTGAAATGAAATTTAGTATAAAGATTCATCAGATGAATATCTAGGTCAAGTTCTGTTTTGTGTACGATTGTGCCATTTTTGACAGAGTTATGCCCTTTTGAACTACAAAAATTCCAATTTGGGGGAGGGGGCATAAGTGTTTTACAAACATCTCTTGTTTTTTTCATAGTTATTATTTTTGCTTTCACATTTACAGACTACACAATATATTAGTTTACATTCAATACATGTTATCAGTTATTTTCCCTAGTAATCCATATTCTACAATTCCTCTTTGGTAAATACTGATACCTGTTCCTTTCAAAAAGCTGCAAAAAATATATGACATTAATGTATTATATGAAACTGTAAAGCTTTATATACAAAGAATTAAAAAAGGGGGTGGGGGTCGACAAGGATAAACAAAAGAAATTAGTGAAGTGGGGTAGTAGTATTCATTGTTTTAACATATTTGTCCGTTTGGATATGAATTCAGAAAAATAAATACGTACATGTAGCATATTATCATAAATAATTTTCCAGTATTTTTCATATTCTAATATTTACAATTTCTTAAAAGTATAGCTTTCTAAACTTATATTCTATCTACAATATTTTTTCTAGCATTGTGATACTTAATTTAGGCACATTTTTTAAACCAACTGGCAAAAATAAATGTTTAACAGTAAATAGTATTATATTGTGTAATCTAAACGTGTTTTTATTGATGAATTTCCCAAATAGTGTATCCTTTCTATCAATATTAATAATAAAATGATTTTTAAAAAAGAAAACCACAACTCAATGTGACACCATATTTTTTTTTACACAGAAGCACTCAAAAATTAAATGGTCAATTGTTTCAACTTCTTGTTTACAAAATGGACAAACAGGTGAATCAATTAGTTTAAGTTTATAAAGGTATTTATTAGTTGCAATTATCCTGTGCAGGATTTGAAATTGCATCCAGTGAAATTTTTCCTCTTTTGTGACTTTAAATGGTAGTTGAAATGTTTTGTTCCATTCTAAATCGCCAAAAAATATTCCATTATTTCCCCTTTTTTTTAGTTCTTTGATTGCTAGCTTTTTTTCTAAGTGAGTATATTGTACATTTCTTTACAACCATTTGTGCTTTTATAAAAATTGTAAATTTAATAAAATATTTATGTTTTTATATTACCATAATATAAAATGCTATACATGGCATTTTATATATTCTCCCACTAAAAGAATAATCATCAACTACGTCTGTCTTTTTTTATGCGCCCGAATCGAAGGATCCGAGGCGTATATTGTTTTTGTCCTCTCTGTTTGTCTGCAAACTTTTGAACCATGAATGGTTGAGACAGAGACTTCATAAATGCATACTCCACTAATTAAGTTCTTTCATATGATACCATGGTCAATGACCTTGTGACCTTGACTGTGACCTATATGCTAAAAATAGTTTTTTCTGAACCATAAAATATAGACTTTATTTTTGGTATGCATATATCATTGATTAAACTCTCTCACAAGGTCAATGACCTTGTGACCTTGACCGTGTCCTATATGCTCAAAATAGCTTTTTTTAACCTTCACCACAACTTTTGAGCCATGAGAGATAGAGACTTCATATTTGGTGTGCAAACTTCACTATCAAGTTCTTTCAAATGACACCAAGATCAATGACCTTGTGACCTTGACTGTGACCTTTATGCTAAGAATATGTTTTTTATTGGCCTTGACTTTGGAGTTTGATCCACTTTAAGCAAAAAACTAAAAAAGCCCTAACAAAAAACTACTATAGTAAACTATAGTTAACTATAGTTTACTATAGTAAATCAAAGTTCCAAAGTTTTCACATAGTAAATCAAAGTTCCAAAGTTTTTACTATAGTAAATCAAAGTTCCAAAGTTTTCGCCATAGTAAATCAAAGTTCCAAAGTTTTTACTATAGTAAATCAAAGTTCCAAAGTTTTTACCATAGTAAATCAAAGCATCAAGTTTTTGTATTTTGTTTTATCAAGTTTTCTTTAAATTATTAGTTTGTTTTAAGGGGAATGATATTGGTTTGTTTAGGCTGGTTTTGTTGTTCATCTTAATTTAGATATGCAATGTAATTAATTTCAATGCAATATTTATCTTTGACAGTAGGAAAAATGTTATCTGAAGGTCAGGAAGCAAATATTTTGATTCTAAATGACGGAAGTTTTATCTTATAGTAATTTTTTCCCCATAAACAATAATAAATATTGCTTATTTATCGGTGCAAGAGACAATTTTTACATTAAAATTCATTATGTGTACTTTGTTCTTTTAGGGGACAGGTCGGGTTTTTCAAACGTTCTCTAAAACTTTAATGAATCTTGTTCTTGAAATTTCATAAAATGTACTGAATTGGAAGCAAAACATAATTCCAAGGGTTTTATATTACTTAATCAAAGTTCCAAAGTTTTCACTATGGTAAATCAAAGTTCCAAAGTTTTTACTATAGTAAATCAAAGTTCCAAAGTTGATACCATAGTTATTCAAAGTTCCAAAGTTTTCAGTATAGTAAATCAAAGTTCCAAAGTTTTTACTATAGTAAATCAAAGTTCCAAAGTTGATACCATAGTTATTCAAAGTTCCAAAGATTTCAAAGTTTTCATCATAGTAAAGCAAAGTTCCGAAGTTTTTACTATAGTAAATCAAAGTTCCAAAGTTCTCACCATGGTATAGTAAATCAAAGTTCCAAAGTTATTACTACAGTAAATCAATGTTCCAAAGTTTTCACTTTAGTAAATCAAAGTTCCAAAGTTTTCACTATAGTAAATCATAGTTCCAAAGTTTTAACTTTGGTACTATAGTTAACTATAGTTTACTATAGTTAACTATAGTTTACTATAGATAACTATAGTTTACTATAGTTAACTATAGTTTACTATAGTATTTTTTTGTTAGGGAGTTTTAAAAATATTTCACACTTGTATTCCTTTTCACAAGACCTTCCTTTGGATACCTTGACATTAGAGTTTAACTTGCATTCGAGAAACTTCAACCCTCGCTATTAATTGCCAGACGAGGGCATTAGAGTTTTACAGACTTAAATATCATGCCTCGAAGATTCGGTAGTATATAGTTTTTGTTCTGTCTGTCCGCTGTTTTTCTGCAAAACTTTAATCTTAGTACCAATATATTTTGATTGGTTGGGGCTTTGGCTTTTATATTTTCCATGTGTATTTCTTGTGAGTTGTGACAATATCTTTTATTGGGTACTACTAGATTTGACCTCCTGACTTTCGAGTTTGACCCACATTTACCAAAAATTTCCAAACTTTAACCTTGGCTATAAGTTTTGGATAGTTGGTACTTGGGCTTTCATACTTTACATGTTAATGTATATTCATGATCAAAAGACCTTCCAATCAATATAAATCATTTTTACACTGATCTAGTAGTTTGACTTACTGTAAGAAAAAAATTAAATTTGAACACATTTTGTTTTTAAAGCAAACATTATACAGACCTTAGAAAGAAAATAATTTTTGCAACGTCACAATTTGAGATGAATTGTCGAATAAAAGGCTT